ACGAAGGCGCCAAAGATAGCCCAGATTGGCATAAGCCGCTCTGGCTTTCACTATACGAGCATTGATCTCATCACTCACACCACCACCAGCACTTATGCAGCTACCTAGATACACGAACTTCTCGACTACTTCAATCTGCTCACCATCCAGAGTGAGTACAGGATTAGAATCCTGCCAGTCTTGTAGAAGTACTTTGCACTTCGAAGGTGCAAAGCACATACCATACCTACGGACATTGATTGCCAACTGATTAAGTGCGGATTGCATGGCTTGAACATTCTCGCACAGTAAGACGATATCATCCGCATACTCAAGGTCGAGAAGTCTTTCTCCAGGCAACAGATCCACACCACCATTACTTACATCCGTCAGAGCTGTTTCCAGAATGTCATCGATGGCAAAGTTGAAGAGGAATGGTGAGATTGGGCAACCCTGTCTAACTCCACTGCTCGAATGGAACAATGGAGAAAGGTGGTTGTATGCCCTCACTCTGTCTGAGGTGTTTGTGTATAGGGCTTTTAGGATGTTAATAAACTTCTCAGACACACCCTTCTTCAATAGACAATCCCAGAGAACAGTTCTGTCCAACGAATCGAAGGCAGCCCTGATGTCAACAAACACTACGATTGTTGGCCTTTCATAAGTATGGTGGTGTTCTAACATTTGGCGGAGGGTGAAGATATGATCAATACATCCTCGACCAGAACGAAACCCAGCATGCTCCTCGCGAGTCAATCCTTCTCGGGTTTTGAACAACCTACGAAGTATAACGGAATCCGATAGCTTGGACGCAATCGGAAGTAGACTTATCCCCCGATAGTTGTTACAGGCCCTGGTATGGCCGAGAGCGGGGAGGGTTCGCCCTCCCTCTCGAAATACTTTCACACGGCCACGCGTATACAGCCTCTGCCAGGGAAGTCCTACTCACTGCCTTCTCGTGGCGGGGTTGTTGTTTACGAAAATGAGAGGAAGAAAAGCGAATGTCCGGCCCTATAACCGGATCCCAATTCTATGGTGCACATGGGCTCCAGTATCCTGCGGGAACAAATGGCGTATGAACCAATCGTTGGTCACCGGCTACCATGGGACTGCATCTCCTCACGATGCTCCACTGCCTTGTGGACTAGACCTTTAGGTCAAAGGCTCGGGGTGTGGCCCCCTAAGAAAACCACCTGCTTCGGTCTGGGCACCCGGGCAGTATCCCAGCCCACTCACTAAAACTATGATGAACAATTTGCTTATGGAAAATATTCCTTTCTATCTGATTAACATTGAAATAACTCGTACTATTATTATTATTGTTATTGTTATTATTATTATTATTAGTATTATTATTATTATTATTATTATTACTCTACCACGTCATTTATTCACCCTCTCTTATTCCTACTTTATATATGCGTTTCGACCTAGACAGCAGCTCACCTATGGTGAAAATTCAGCTTTATCTAAACGTTCCCGAGTCACTGCCTGGTTGAAAATTGTATGTTACTACCGAACATGAGTACTGAAGCAGTTTTTCTGAAACCGCGTGCACCATTCAAACTGGCTACCTTCAACGTTCGCACACTTATGCAGGTCGGACAACAGATAGGACTGGCTATGTCTTTGGAAAGTCTTAATATTGATGTGTGTTGTCTATCCGAGACCCGTATTTAAGACTCTGGTGAAGTACTACAAGTTCGCTCTCCATCTGTCACTTCAAAAAGCTTGTTTTATGTGCGTTTATCCGGGGACCCTGTGGCATCTTCGTCTGGTCTTGCTAACGTTGGTGTCGCACTAAGCGCGAGAGCTGAGGCAGCACTAGTCGACTGGATCCCCATTAACAGTCGGTTATGTGCTGTTAGATTAGAAAGTTCCATCAAAGTGAGAAGAAATCGGCGTGAGAAACGATGTCTTTTCGTCATCTCCGCCTATGCCCCGACAGATTGCAGCCCGGATGCAATCAAGGACGAGTTCTACCACCAGTTAACTGTTCTTCTCAAGAAAGTGCGTTCGACAGATATTGTAGTACTATCCGGATACTTGAATGCTCAGGTCGGGCGTCTAGGCACAGAAGAGAGTCGTTTAGGTGGCCGATGGGGACTCCTTGGTCGCAGGACAGATAACGGGGACCGTCTACTGCAACTATGCACAGACCACAACCTGTTTCTGGCTAGCACTAACTTTCGGCACAGTCATCGCCGATGTGCCACCTGGCGTCCTCCTTCTGCATCTCAAGCCTGGACTCAGATTGATCACATCGCGATCAGCTACCGCTGGCGCGGTTGTGTACAAGACTGCCGCTCCTTTTGGAGTACCTATCTGGAATCTGATCATGCTCTGGTCTGCGCCAATCTTACCTTACTTTTCAGTGGACAACGAAGTGACCGCCACCAAAGGATTGATGTTAGCAAGCTGGCTGCAACTTCTGTTGCTAGTATGTACCGAACCGAGCTAGCTTCTAGGCTAGCTACCATTCCACCGAAAAGTATAGATGAGCATTGGTTGCAATTGCATGACGCCATGAAAATGGCGGGTACAGTCTGTTGTGGGTTTGCGAAACGTCCCGCTTACAAGCACTGGGTTTCTTCTGGTTCCTTACAACTGGTTGAAGCCCGTCGGTCTACTCCGGGTGACCGTGAGTTTGACCACAGACGAAGGATGTTACGTAATGAAATCGGGCAAAGCTTGAGTAAGGACCGAGAAGCCTGGTGGTCGGAGCGTGCCAGTGAGTTGGAAGCAGCAGCTGCATCTGGTAATTACCGGAAGCTCTTCCAACTCATCCGAGCCACTGGCAGCAAGAAGTTTGGTGTGAGCGAAACAGCAAACCTATCTATAAGATATTGTAGTGTAGTTGGATTTTTAGTAAAAGCTAACTAGTTTATACATTTTTGCTTGTCAACTCTAAATCTTAGTATTATTTTAACTGGAAAAAAAATCTCTATAATCATATGTTAATGCTAATAATAATTGCATCAGATTTACCAAATAGGTTCTATATGCCCGTCTAGTCATTATTCAATAAAACCTGCTCATTTGATTCTAATTATTATTAATAAGCCGCAGAATAGTTCATTTATTTTTCCAAGAGAGCACAAAATGTTTTAGGGGATACATGTAATGATTAATGTCGTCTATGATCTTTTTAATTTTTTAAATTGAAGGCATTTAAAACTCATTGGACGTGAAATTCATCAAACACTTCTCAAGCACTTTCCAAACATCTCTCTCAAGTGATTATCCTGTAGGTGTTCAAAATAAACATACGAAATAAAACGACCGGAGTAACAACAATAACAAATTGTTACCATATTCAAATAATTAAAGTATTTTTTTGAACGTAGACTCTTCATTAAACGTCTTGAAAACTACGTTTTTGATTGATTGTATAGGCAAAGGGACAGAGGACGAATCGGAAAAATTTCATAACCTTAAAATGTTATCCCCCCTTTCTACCCTCACATTTATTGATGTTCGCCTTTATAAAAATGGTCCAAATCTTCATATTTGTAGGGACATGCATTGAAATGCAGTTAAAATTTAAGGAGAAAAAAGTTGGTTTCTTGATGATCAAATATATGAGGTCTATTAAAAACTGTTGTCAACTAAAAGAACTAAGTAATACTAACAGACCAAGTGTAAGAATAAAGATTTAAGCAGAATAACATGAACGCAGGTTATTTGGTTAGGTTCTCATAACTTGCTTTGAATGTGAAGTACTAGAAAACGAAAATTACGAAGTGGGTTGAAAGTACTTACATAAATTAGTATGCTTGGGAATTTTTTTCAATACACATCAGATCTGACGATATTTAAATTACTGTTCATACTCTCTTTAAGATAAAGGGAATTATGTAAGCGAAACACAGGAACAGTCAATTATCTCAACATTTAAGTTTCTTAGCTATTTGATCAAATCATGTGCACCATAAACTGAGTCAAGGTCGACAAAACCAGTACAACTGTTAAATGATACGATTACATTGATTTCTTTTCTGACTATTCATCCATCTTGTGTATTTTTTACTGCTATACACTAGGTGAAATTAAATATGTATGCATAAATCAAACAATATTTATCGGAAACAACACATATCTAGACAATAACCTTTTACGATATAGGTAATGATGCAGTTTTCAGTAAAGAATGTGTGGATGGATGAAAAGAAATTGTTTTTACAATGACTGTTGACAGGATTTTTTGGTGTGGTTTATTTGAACGGATCCATAGTGAGCTAGAACAGCCATGTGTATTGAGGACATTATGTTATTTGGTTAACTTAACAAGTGATGTATGTAACAAATGTCACACAAAGTAACATTTAGAAGCTACATATTAATCATCTGATTTTCAACTGTTGGCTTACTGAGATAAAATAGCTTTATTTAAGTCGATTACATAATAGCAAATAGAATTGTAATTTAGCTCATAAATATTGTCAATCAAAGTATAATGCATGAAAGAGCACATATAAGTAAAAATTAAATACCTGACAGTGAGTGAATCGTATAAAGCTTATCATCAGTAGTAGGTGCAGATATAATAATAGCTTAACGTTAGATAACAACATTTTAGATCATTGATCAATAAGCTGTAGAAGCTTGCTCATTTCCGATCTTGATTGATTGCATTAAATGACCTATCGTTGAATTAGTGTGAATCATTGAACCATATTCAAATTGCAATTATAAGTTGGTTAGAGAGATATATGGAGAATTGTAATTTCGATAAATAATTCTTCAAATAAAAAGATCAAATGTTATTAACTGATATTTCTGCAGTTCAGTAAGGCATAAATTATTTTGGGATGGAAAGGAGCAACTACACGTACAGATTCGGATTATCCGGTGAAATTCACTGTGATTTCTACATAAATTCAGTCAATAATCATACAAGGACCGTAGATTAACATTCTTCAACAACCATTTTATAGACAAATAAAGACAAGAACATACAAGTCCGAATGAAAAAAACAATATTTTTAGAACGAAAATAACTTATTAAGGTAATCTATTACCTGGAAGTTATAGCAGACTGAGTTGAATGAGAAGTAGAAACACCGGAATCATGTTCAACACCAATAGGTTTTCTGGGAGCAATTAATTGGTTAACATTCTGAGATGATTGTTCATTTGCTATTGTATTGCTATCTAATCCATGGGAAACACCAGTGCCGGAATTCGATGACTTCAATGAAGGTACAGAGCCAGTAGTAGATGGACACTGTGAAGAAACTTTTATTCCGAAATAAGGTGGAACATGAGTTAGACGAAACGAGGCTGTCGTGCAAAAAGTAATCGAAAAAAAGTGGACAAATACTCTAACAGTTGTAAACGTGAAGAAATTTTATTTTTAATTAAGTTAATATATTAAATATAACACACCATACATTCAGTGTGTTGACTAATGTGATCAATAGAAAAAGGTTAACTAAAATTAATTAGAAGGAAAATTGTAAAATAATCTACAGTACATTATATGAATAAAATATTAGGTAAAAAGATTTGATACGGGCCAGTGTGGACTTAAACATAAACTAATATTTCAGTCAATAATTATAACAATTAATAGGTAATATATATATATATATATATATATATATATATATATATATATATATATATATATATATATTCAGCTTTGATTCGACCAATATTGTTAGGGTAGAGAGTCCGTACAACTTTAATGTACTTACTTGGAATATCTTTATAATTGGTTACTGTAAAAAGAATTAGGGATATATCTTGATGAAAAGTAAAGAACGAACAGAGATAGATTAGGCTACTGTCTAGTGCTTTATAGTCTTCGTATTCCTTCAGATGATGTAAGAAATATTAATTACAATTGTTTAAATCATTAAAATCAGCACTAACAATTTCTAATACAAAATTGCTGTCAGATTTGAAGGTCATGGGTTTAATCCCTAGTAAGGCTGTGAATGTGTACTGAATAGATGAATCCAATACTATGATAAAACATTTATCTAATGTCGCCTGGTTTTCAATATTTGTCTAACCGAAGTTAGATCACGTAGTGAAACTCCAAACTCCATAATCAATTAGGTTGATTCATGGTTGTAAAACTACAAAGTTATGTATGAAGTAATGTACCAAATCAGTTGTTACCTTGTTCTTGACCAAATAACTGTTCTGCATTTTGGATAAGAATATCTACTAAATGAATTCCTGGACCATTGCTTTGTAAGAAATCTAAAGATTTCCCTCTGAATACAAAAATAATAAAAGTAATTGAATATAGTGTTATAACATTTCATTAATAATAACAGTCAATAAATGATAAAATAATGATGTATTTGTAATATCTCAATTGGTGGAAAATTGGATTCTTACATTTTGTGACTGTATAAGTTTTATTATCATAAGAAATATCTAACCAATGCTTAGTTTATTTCTAAATTAAAAACTAAAACTCAAGTAAATCAATAGTTTTGAAGAAAAGAACAATTAAAAAAGTATCAATGATAAAGAGAAATTCCCTAGGCAATGAATTTATAAAAATAGATTAGTTAAAAGACCATAAACTTAGTTCCACTTCTTTTAGTCATAAAGTGAGCAGAAACAAACAATTGAGCACAATAAAATGATTTCATTTCATTTTGTTAGCTTTTCATCAGCTGTTTACAACTTATTTGATAATTTTGATTTTAAAATAAAAGTAAACAGACGAATAACAGTGAAATTAGTTAGATGCTGTTATGTAGCATGATGGAATGATGATTCCAATAGATGTGATGAAATTGGAGAAATTTACTGTTGTAACTAAATAGAATATGTGACAGAAGATTATGGATCAGTAAATACGGTAATAAGAGATCACAAAGGTAAAAAAATAACTGATTACATAATGAAGTAGCTAAACACATTAATAGGTTTTTAAAAGCAACACGAGTTAACATCAGTTAAATAAAAATGAAATTATTGGAAATAAGAGAAAGAGTTGGAAGAATGATGAGATAAACTGACGATAACGTCACTATGGTAAGAAACAATATGAATTTTATGTGTATTGGCACTGGGTTCGAATCCCAATATGAATATTACCACTGAAATGTAGGAACATCCAACTGACAAACCCTGAATAAGAATAAATGCATAGTATGGATTTCATTGCTAACCATTATCTAACCCTTAAAGGAAGATGAGAATAACAACTTTACTCATAAAATATTGTTACTTCAATTAAACAGAAGTCATATAGTCACTAAAATTTATAAGATATGTATGGTAGAATAAAACAGTATTTTTGGTACTCAGGCCCCCAAATGCCCTGGTACGGTAGAGAGTGGGGAGAGTCCGCTCTCCCTCTCGAAATACTCTCACATGGCCACGCGTATATAGCCTCTGCCAGGAAAGTCATACTCACTGCCTTCTCGTGGCGGGGGTGTTGTCTACGAAAATGAGAGGACGAAAAGTGAATGTCCGGCGCTATAACCGGATCCCAAATCAATGGTGCACATGGGCTAGCTCCAGTATCCTGCGGGAACAAATGGCGTATGAACCAATCGTTGGTCACCGGCTACCATGGGACTGCATCCCCTCACGATGCCCCACTGCCTTGTGGATCAGACATTCAGGTAGAAGGCTCGGGGTGTGGCCCCCTAAAAAACCACCTGCTTCGGTTTGGGCATCCGGGCAGTATCACAGCCCTCACATTTATCAAATGAGATCTGTGTGGCGCATATGTATTTGGTGCCTCCTTGTACCAATATCTATGTGTTGAAATAAAAATAAAATTCGGTACTCAGATGAATAGATTATGATGAAAAACAATTCAACTGGAAATTAAGAAATCAAGTTGACTAATCACATACACAAAATCAACAAAAATGTACGCATAAATTGTAAACAGAAACTTAATCACAAAAATGAAATGGAAATCATTTTTATGTGAGACTAAAATGTTATATATAATACTTTAGGCTACATAGTTACGCTGACCTTAAATAACGAGACTATGACCAATCACACTTATGACCTAAAAGAATTCTGTACGATAGAATGTGTTGTTGATTTATTGGCCCCTAATTAATGAATTTATTATCATTTATGCAGATTGACTAATCAGTCTAATTAATAAACTAATCAACTTAACGATCTAACAAATCTTGGAATAGAAGTTATTTATTTAAAAATTACGATAAATTGTAATTTGGTCGAAGCGGTTTAATGGTGATTGGCCAAATTAGTAGATTATATTCGTCACAGATTTTTAGTAGTTCGTGTAGCATTGAGAATCAAAGAGCAATGGAAGGGTGTTTCGTCCCAGTTTGTAAGTTAGCAGTGTGGAATCATGATGGTGATAGCTAATCATAAATACGACCATGATAATGAATGTTTGAGTGAATATCCTTCAATAAAGTGACATCGTTGCTATGGTTAGTTTCTAGAGAACTTTCAAATATCCGGGTGTTTACCATTACTAAGCCTTAAAGTTATGATAGACACCGACATGTTCATGAAGTTTACGGTCTTCGGGCAGAACAACATAGACTAATCACGCTCAGTAGTCTTGAATGTCGACGATACAAAAAACACACACAAAGCCTTTACAAATAAAAGTAGCGGACCAATAAGAAAATATAAACAGTATTCATTACTATGCCATGATGTAAGGATTAATATTGAGATGATTTACGCATAATAACTGGATTAGCCAAAATAAATTCAAAAATTCATGCAGACAAAAATGAAAACAATTGCTTACAAATCTTCAATTTGTCGTGCTGAACTGCCATTGACAATATTATTACCAGTACCCATGGAACAGTATGAAAGTCTATACACATTTGGTGCAATCACTATTGATAAATTATCAGAAGTCATTTTATTCACATCTGATTGACTAGACAATTTCTGCAAGAAGCACATTAAATAGCCTAAATTTAAACGAAACTCCTTCGGCATTTTTTCAAGGCAACTATGAATTAACTGTAGATTAACCGCTGATGAATTCGGTCTATGATTGAAAAGAGAAAAAGATAGAATGAATGATTTGTGTGTTAAAACAGTAATAGTAAATACAGCTAAACTATTTCTAAGTGTATGGAAGAATCGATTACGATTGAAAAAAGTATTATATCGAACTAGTGTTAATTTTTAACCTAAGCATAATTTTAGTGAGAACCTATTGAAAAGAAGTTGGGTTATTGAGAAAATCTCTCTCCTGTGATTGTGAACATGAGGATTTAAATTTGAAATTCAAACAAACGATTCTACTTATAATGCAATGAGGTAATAAAAACCTAAGTAATCGCCAGAGCTACTTTGACAGATATGTCAAGATCATCGGCAGTATCATAAATTGATCGACATTTTTACTGTACTGTGAAATTTCGATACAATCATTAAGAGAGTAAGCACCAAAATGTCTGGAGCCATATGATTTGTTTTAAGCAACTATTTATCACTATGACAGGGCCCTCAAACAAAGATGAATCACTTTCTGTGTCAAATAATCTTCGAATTTAAGACAGGAAAACTAAAATGTAGATAATCATGGGAAAACGAGTTTGTCTATTTAGTTAAATTGCCCAAAAGAAAAAACAATCATCTGAATATAAAATTATCTCAAAGATCAGAAAAGTACTAAAGAATAAACTATGAGGTGATTACAGTTTTAAAGAAGGTATATAATGTATAACGTATTGAGGAGTGAAGTCGGGAAATAAATCGACTTCCGATTTTCTCGAACAAGCAACCTCCAAGGTCAGCCTATAACTAACTTGTCGAAGCCGTACTAAGATTTCAACCCGTGTACGGTCGTGATGGATGAACGATATTGAGGTTTGTCGAATTAGAACAAAACAAACTCATAGGATTGTCTGACATCTAGTAGTTCTACAGGTTAACAGAATAAGAATTAACAAAAAGTCTTTAATCATATTAGTAATCTTATGTGAGTTCTTTACAGAGGGTATTTTGATAATGGTGAGCGAAATTTATGGTTAATTAACTGACAAGCAGAATGCTTACTAATAGATGATGGGCAATGAAACAATGAGATTGGCTGATAGCTATTCAAGATATGAAAAGAGCAACTGGCAGATTAGGTATCTCTTCGAGCAACGTGATATACCTATACACAAAAATCAAACATGATTCAATATCACTCAATAAATAACCGGTTGGAGAAAGTGAATTTGGAGGTCACTCATTCGCTACAAAGATTTGAAACCTGACTAAGAGACCCAATTTTTACCTACTAAATATAAATACTGGAGAAATGTCACCAAAATGTTACTTTTGATTTTGTAAGTAGCATATAAAAATATGAACATATCTGTTAAATGTTTTCATATATAACAGAAAATGATTGACGAGATAAGCAGAAATTTACGATGCATTTTATATAAACCTTAACCTAATCCAAATTTCTAGTAGCGATTATTGGCGTATAATTAATACTATACGTCGATGAAATAACGCATTCATCATCCAGGAATATACAAACCAAAATAATATTCACAATTTGAGAGAAAATTATGGTCATTCATTAAACGCAACACATTTTTTCTTACAATAAAAAACGTGTTTCTAAATGAAATATTTTATCCAAAAAAAGGAATTTACTTTTTAGAAGCAGCAGCCCATTGATCAGCAAAATCATATGTGATTAATGGTTCAGGAAGACTAAGCAAATATTGTTTCAAAGCACCAGCAACAACAGCACAGTCACATTTTCTAAGTAAATGTTCATCGATTTGCATGATATTTAAAGCTTTCTGAATAATGATATAAAAAATGTCATTAACAATAAAAATATTAATAATAATGACGTAATGTACAGAAAATTTCGATATGTTTATATCCACAGACCCGGTTTAGGCGACGGACATTCGCGTTACGTCCTCTCAATTTCGTAATTATCAGCCCCTCCGCGAGAAGGCAGTGAGTAGGACTTCCTTGGCAGAGGCTGTATACAAATAGCCATGTGAGAGCATTTCGAGCGGGAAAGCAGACTCTCCACACCCTCAACCGTACCAGGGCATTTGGGGACTATTATCAACATCATTATCATAGCTGAACTGTGAAAATTTAAAGTGAAACACAATTAGAGATAACTCTTCATAGTAGTAGAATTGAGAGGAATGAATGACAAAGGTGTTATCATAGAATTTCTTAAAATTGGAAAAAATAAACCAATGAATTCTAACTTAGTGATCTGAAAGTATCATGAAGATCACAGAACTCTGAAGATATGAATTTAATACACTGATTTGAATCTTCATCGAGCAATCCAAAAAGGTATATGACTAAGATGAAACGTCCTATAATTGATTGGTCGCTGAATAGTGATAAATATCATGTCTAATTCTTTGATGTCAACTGATATTTTGTCGACGAACTTGCAATCTGGCCACTAGTATAGTTAAATCGACATATCTGTTAAGATATCAAATGGTAGGTAATCGGCAGGACATTGGTGATCACTTAGTGATTAGTCGATCGTAAGTATCTCAGTATCATTAAAAATTAGTCGCGGCCCGAATAGTCAATTATAACACCTCAGACTGTGAAGCTGAATAATGCGGGTTCGAATGCCACAGAGAGCACCGATTCTCCTAAGACGACAGGTTTGCCTTTCTGAAAAGTACATGAAAAATGTCCAGGGTTTCCTACCTACCTCTAACCACATAACATAAAACACCTCTTTAAAAACAAGCTAATTTAAGGTGGATCGATTGCATAAACATGATACAGTGGTATGAACTATCGATTGCAAAGCACTGGATTACAGCTTTAGCATCAACCTACTTCTAAGTTTAAAAATTGAAAACATAATTGTCTTACTAGGGAACTCGTTACGTACATACATAATTTTTGTGACATTACTTAACTAACCTCAACCAACCGCTAAGCATGTGAAATAGTGTTAACATAAATAGTATTCAACTTTTAATTACCAGTTTTGCAGGTTAACAGAACTAATAATAAGCCTTCAAATCTGAGATATAGATTAATAATGAACCTCCGAGTAATTTTCAAAACCTTATAACGAAAAAATGTGTCCTTCCTATGAGGTTTTAATTCAAAACGTTTAATAATATAAACAGAAGCAGCCAGTCACAACGTAGAACCTAGCACGTACGTACGTCAGCTAAAGTTGGCATAGACCATTAGTGCAAAGAGATGAAATTAGTAGGCCAAATCTGTGAATGGTAGAGGTAGTAATAGTATCAGTGGTAAAAGAAAAGGTGAGGTATCGAAGATACCGTTCTGTTGGCTCAGCGGTCTAGAGGTTAGGCGTGTACGTGCAAGACCGAAAGGTCTTAAGTTCAAATTCCTTGTGAGAGATCGCGAAGGAGCACTCCTGGAGAATCTCATGCTAGGACGAAGCGGCTGTCCAGTGGTTCCAGCTTTTCGGTGGTGGTCTGATATTGATAAATTCATGATTTCAAATAAATTTATATCATATCAAGTGTTTTATTTGTTGACAAACTAAATTTTGGAGAAATAAAACCTAAACACCATGCCGAAATAAAAGGTAGATTTCAATTAATGGAAAATGCTTGTAGCAGCTGAACTGATAGAAAATTTTAATGGTTGACTGAATACTGTTGACAGATAATGACTGCAGAAAAAGATTTTTAAAAAGTGTTTTGAATAATTACTATTTGAATGTATATTAAAAAGATATTCGTTGTAACGTCGCACAACTGGTGCTGAAAATTCTTCACTGTACCGAAATTTATAGGACAGGATAGACCTATTATCAATATTATTGTCATGATTATTATTATTTTTACAAGGAAATATATAGGTAATTATAGGAAATGTTCACAATATTACTACTTGTAAGCATTTTTACAGTCTACAGTGAGTATTTTTACTTACGACTAAGAGGTCTGTCCGTTTTTGGGATCCAGACTTTCGAAAAAGACCCTGAAACAAATAACAGGATTCACATGTTACAAATTTAAATGATGTACTCTGCCTTAAATCTGGCCAATTTTATGGATTATTAATTTGGATTTATAATTGTAGAACCTGATGAGAAATTATTGAAAAGAATATTCTTCTTTCATGTATCTGTGTTTCAATTTAAAAATAATAGAATAACACTAATAAAATAAGATACAGCATACAAACAAATAATGGATATATAGAAAAGCTATATACCAATGAATTAGTTTATTGAAGTCTAAGATTTATATCGGTAGATGTTCCAGAATCAAACGAGAAATTCTTGAATGTAAAAATACAATAAATAAACATTATCACCTTATTGGCACTGATCGATTGAAAATCGACACCATATAACATCAGTAATCACATATTGAAATCGAACTAATTTCTTAGAGAAAATTACAAATATTTTAGGAAGTGACTAGCTGTTGTGTAGATATTTACAGACAATTGTTTAATAGAAATATGGAGCCCCTGAATAGTCAAACGGAGTGAAAAGACCAACTAACATGGGCGATAAGTCATCTGGCCCTAATTGCAGATGAGCAGTTGAACGAAGGAGTTATTCTATTTGAAAAGATCAATCTATTTATGATACTTTGTCCCAATGAATTGAAAACGGAAAACTCAATCAATCAGATAACATATATGATTACGATCTATTAATATTGATTAACTGGAATCCAATGTCAATTAACAGTTCCATATACATTCAGTAAAAATTACATTGAATAGTATGTATCCACTTTGATACAGCGAAGGTATCACTGGATACTGGTTTGTATGGCACTAGTGAGACTGAGATTAGTTTTACATTTTCTCTCGATACACTCACTTGCTTCTAATTAGGTGTTCATTAATAGTAATTATTACTAAATGACAAGATATCATTCATATGACAGGTTCATAGTTTATTGTCTAACCAATTATCAGGATTAATACGATAAAAATACAGAAAAGAATGACAAACAAACAAATATACCAGGCTTTGTGTTGTTTAAATAACTTGGATAGACATAAATGAGTGATAACCATAATAAAAAGAGAAAATATATTAATGCGTGCGTTGATATTGTTTCACTGAAATAATAATAAAATTTTAATTTAAGAAAGTAATAAAAACAATTTGATGTAAGTTTATACATGAATAACATCATGACTGTTAAAATAGACATTAAGGAATTATCAAGAAAACTGTACACAAGACATAAGGTATACATAAAATATGGCGACCCACATTATACAATAGTACTTCGATACAAAATAGTAATAATAATAGTAGTACTAATAATCAAATCGTATCTATTTTCGTGTTGACAGGTTATATAGGTTAAAAAATAAAGCATGTTATGTTGTAAATTCTACATCACTTTTCGGTATAACATCATTAAACCATTAAACATATTTTTTCTAAAGACATGAATTTGTTTTTGAACATATAAACTTGACTAATTCGAATAGCGGTAGTTTACAAGACGTGTTAATTGTATTTATTTATGATAGATATTCAGCTAAATACACAAATAGATCTGTTTTTAATCATGAATACCTCACGTTCAGAACTTAAATTGCTGCTTTTAGTCTCTAACCTAGCTATCTGGTTTGGTAAGACATGAAGTAACAATATAGCTTGACTGGGTCATTATGACATACAAACCCGACCGTTATGTCAAGATTAGCACCTATGGTCGGGCGACGATACTTTACGAAATACAAACGTATTTATATAAATATACTTAATAGTATACAGTAAGAGAAAATCCTCATTCAGAAAAGAGAGCTTCAATTTGATAAGTTGGAGATATTTCGGTTCTGTTTATAATTGCAAAGAAGTTCCATAAAGGAAAAAAATAGTATAAATGAGAGGTATTTGGTACACAAAGAAGTACGAACGTTTGTCGTAATGAGTGTAATAATTATGGTTGAACTCATATTATAGTAAGTGTTGACATTAAGAAATGTTCAGTTTCATTAATTTTAGTACATATTTCAGTAGAAATCTTTTGTTATACTCTAATTCAAATAAATGAGTGAACGATTATACATAGAAATACATAACAAAACACCGTCTATTATGTGACCAAAGTGATGTGCTAATAATATACTTTATTCTTTCAAATACAATAAAAAATCTCGAAGTCTAATCAAATATATTATATATATGCACGAATGTTGATTAATATCAATAATTACAAAACTAAGGATAAAAATGAGTCTTGCCAACTGCTGCATCAATCAGCTACTTAATGGTCATATGAAAACTTGGTTCGATTGAAAGTATGGGGGTTGACGAAATTGTTAAGTACTATTGAGATTGCAGATCAATTTAAGTTAGATAGCCATCAAAAACCTGGAAGCACTGAACAGTTATTTCGTTTAAGTACGAGACTCCTTAGTAGTGCACATTCACAATACTGTCACTATGGGTCGAACCCAGGACCTTTGGTCTTGTGCACGAACACTCAGTAATGTACAAGCTAGGCATTCTTACACTAGACCGAAGGTTTGGAGTCTGATCCCCGATGGCAGTGTCCTGGATGAGTACTGCTGGAGTTCCAAGCTAAGATGAATATGCTGAATTTCATCAGTAATAAAACCGTCTAGATAAAATAATAGTAATTAACTAACTATATTCAGTGATCAATCAGCATTAAGATTGCATCTAGTCATTTAAGACGATCATCACCTAAGTCTGGTCATTTTGTGATGTATGCTACTTATGTCGACAAACATAAATAGTATGTAACACCAATCAGAAGTGGAATGCCTGGCAACAGAAGGTTAGGAAAATTGAATCGAAGAGAACGAGAACAGAGAGTGATTGTTGTGACAAAGAAGGAACGATGAAGTTTGAGACAATTAATGAAGGATTTGCAAATAAAAGACTAAACATATGGTTTTCACATTTTACGAAAGTACTCTGTAATTTTGTATTGAGGTACACTCGGTTGGTCAAATCTGTGTTCTGGTTCACAACAATTTTAGTAAGGATTAAATAGTCGTTTCTGTTAGCCTATTGCTACTGATAAATTCATATAAGTTAATTCACTTTTAGGTGAACGGATTTATTTTACTTTTTCTTAATAATGTTTTACCTTAGTAAAACATTTTTTTGAGAAATATGTTATAATTAACATGATGTTCATGTGATGTATCATTTTGTAAAATCAATTCATCTACATGTATATACAACATAATCTAAAGGCAGAACCGACTCACATTCTTACATCGAGGTAGAATAAGAAATATTTAAGATAGAAACAATACCACCAATCACAGATACATGATAATCTATGTATATAAAAATACAGACATACAAAAATGTTTGACATTATTTTTTGACATTTATTGATCGACAGAATATACAATGCAAAATGATAACTAATGAGAGAGAGAAAAATGGATGTTAAGTATTCAACAATAACATTCAGAATTCAAATATACAGTGAACGAATAATGGTGTATAAGTTCATTGAACATTGATTAAAGAATAATGAATAATTGTGTTAATCTATTCCTTTTTTGTTGGAAAAAAGACACATCCAATCTCTTAAATAATAACACAATGTGTATTAGATGTAAATTAGTTAAACTCATCAAAGTAAATGACTAAGTGACTAGTGTAGTTCACTACATATAGATATATGTTAGCGTAGTATAGGAAAAAAACATTGAGAACTTAATTATAAAGATGGCGAATGGAATATTTTGAGAAGTATTAAGGTTAAAATTGAGATAATAAGTAGTAATAGTTCAAGTATACTAGCTAAAAAAGAAACAATGGAACATGTAATTAAGATAGGAGAATTTTTGGCATTGTATATACAGGAATGGAACCCGAAAATCCTGAGGTCGTGGACAAGCAACGTTAAGAAGTTAGGTCAACAGGAAATCTTAGATTTAGGTTTTGTATTCGTTGGCACTCGTCAATAGAGAGTACATGCAATATCGAGGGAACTGTTGGTCTCTGGTAAATTTGAAACTGGACCACTCAGTTTTATAACTTGAAACGCTAATAGCAAGTTATACGGCCCGCGTATAGGGCTGAAGTATTTACACTGACTGAGAAGTAGTCAACGTCATGTTTTTAGTACTTAGTACTGATTGAAATCTATCTAACAGGTATATGACGCCTAATCTAAATGACTCAAACATTGCATTAATTGTTTTGATGTCTGGTTGGTTTTAGGCGATTGGAAGAAAATCCTTGATCAAGATTTCTTGCGACTTGATCATGTCACTCGATCAGAAATAATGACAGGATAAATATGAAATTAACAGCAATCCAGTAGGGATCAATCAGTGTAAATACTAAAATCTATCGCCATTAAATGAAAACACCTGATCCTACAGGAAATCTTAATCTCTGTTAGTTTAAGGTAAAAGTAAATTTTAATTAAACGTAATTAGACTAAACTGAATGAACAGTACAATAAGACATAATATATTAATAATCAAAAAATTGTTACTTTGATTATGTTGAAGAGTAGCCGCCACACTGCCATGTCACTGTGCACACAAACATAATGTAGATCTCTAACGATAACTGATGATAATATGGTTTTTTATATTTATGATACATCTCAAAGATCATATTAATAAGCAATCTTAATTAATCGTAAAACGGTCTTTTTCAATGGATTAAAACAAAATAACAAGGAAATTATGTGATAAATATGAAGTATTCTGTAACATTCAGTGACTGGATTTTTACGTACAGGTAATTTTGTAATGTAATACAAAATATCAGAAATAGAGCAGTGATTTAATTATTGAAATATTTGGCTTTTAAGTGCTTCACTCACTTCGGTATTTCGGCAGATACGTAATATCATTTAGTTTTTGTACAAACAATGTACAGATTAAAGCTAAATGCCTAAGAATAATTGACAGATACGAAGAGAACCTTGGCGGTCTGTTTAAATATCTGGGCAACCTGTTCCTACACTTACGTATTTCGACAAGTTATCTGTCTTTGTTTTAATATATAATTATGTTTATTAATCGCATAATCTATTCAGGCGCGTCTAAGAAACGTTTACGATCTTTCGCTGTACAAGTTAAAAAATGTACAGAGATTGTGGTGGCTGGCAATTTACATTGTAAAGAAAGAACATTATTCAGATACCAATTCCTGAATCGCTAACATCTAACTGGAGATTACTCAATATTTATCGTTAATGTCGATCAAGTAAAAATAAGAAACGGAAACTCGCTGAAATACTTTGTGCTAAGAACTATGTATTGTACCAAAGCCACTAGTAATAATAATAATATTTTTTGATAAATGATTGTACTAGCCTATTGCCCTGATAGAACAATTAATCTTTAAAAATAAGGTTGATAAATAATAAGAGTTGATTAATAAAAGCATCCACCAATCAGTACAAAATATGGGGTTTTTAGATTTAAAATATGAGTTTCGGTTTCAGAAAAGCGAGAAAATTAACCATTATTTGATAAATTAGGTGAAAATATGCTTTGTAATATAAGCTATGAATAACGGAGCAAATAAATTAATGAACATTTGAACAACGCGTAAAGAATATAGACCATTTAAGATAGGATTTAGCAATAATTACTGCAGTATTCCAGCTTACCTCTTCTTGCATGATAGATTCTTGATCCAAATAATTAATACATACGTCTAGTACATAGGCGATAGATCGTCTAGTCTCGGCTAAATGATCAGGTAGATGTCGGCCAAATGTAGTAAGACATTTTTGTATTCCTGTCGTCCAGTAAAAACAAATGATAAATAAATATATCGGGCTTGTACAGCAATCAAAAGGAAAAAGAACGATCTAACAGATAGAAATTATAGATTGGAAGTTTGTAAAAAATATGTTATCAAAGGATAAAACAGGCACTAACGAACCCGTTTAAAAGAAATGTGACAGATCTTCACAAAATATTAACTGTCCAAATTTTTGATGCAAAAGAAAACGCATAAGCTTATGAAGTAAGAGAAGTTCAATTCCTAGGGTATTTTCCTATCTTAGCATTCACCACAATTAGTAATTTAACAAAACTCGCATTTATCAAGTACAAATTCACGTGTTCGGTTTTGACGTGTAATTTAAGTATGAGATCCGATGACACTAACTGAGTCGTGTAATCGAAGAGTTCAAAACTATAACTCAACTATGGTAAATTTAAAAAAAAAAATGTTTTAACCACCAAGTAGTTACGCCTCCCATACCTCGACTAACTATCACAAGATCAAGTGAAAATGTAAATAAGTAAACAGGACAATTCCTAAAATATATGTGGACACTGAATACCATTAACGTATTAATAAACTTTCACATTTGAAAAGATTCCGAATAATGGTTTTTATTATTTTGATAAAAGTTATTTTATCTAACTAGAAAATATGATGCGATTCAGTTGCGTATATATAAAGTCAGATATGACAATACATAAAATTTCAGGTTCAAAAAATTTTTCAGTCTTGAGTTATGGAGACAATTTAATTTCATGGACCGATTAATGTTCGAGTACCAATGACAACTTGGAAACACTGGACGGTCGATGGTCGTGCAATATAATGGATTGGTTGAAGCTAGACATTAACACTGTTGGATGTCGACTTAATGGCCTAGAGGTTAAACGTTTGAGTGCAAGACAGAAGGTTCTGCGTTCAAACCCCAGGTGTGGGATCATGGATGCGCACTGCTGAGTCCAATACTAAGACGAATCGGTCATCCAATGCTTCTGGGATTCCAATGGTGGTTTAACATTGATCGGTTAATGATTTAAATGAAAAAAAAAATAACGAAAATTAAAATTGTTACACCTTTAGATTATTCAAATGTTAAAATATTTGGCTGAACTTCGATCGGTTTTAGTTGGTGTATGTATATCCCGTACGGAATGCCTTGATGAAGCCATTATGTCACACGTTCTTATATAATAGATGGGATGTGGTTCGAGGTGGAATACAAGATGCACTTTCCCTATCATACCATATATTCTATGTAACATAAATATCTATCCTTTGATTTTGTGTATCAAACCCTCAAATGCCCTTGTACTGTCGAGAGTGGGGAGAGTCCGCTCTCCCTCTCGAAATACTCTCACATGGCCACGCGTATACAGCCTCTGCCAGGAAAGTCATACTCACTGCCTTCTCGTGGCGATGGTGTTGTCTACGAAAATGAGAGGACGAAAAGCGAATGTCCGGCGCTATAACCGGATCCCAAATCAATGGTGCACATGGGCTAGCTCCAGTATCCTGCGGGAACAAATGGCGTATGAACCAATCGTTGGTCACCGGCTACCATGGGACTGCATCTCCTCACGATGCTCCACTGCCTTGTGGATCAGACATTCAGGTCGAAGGCTCGGGGTGTGGCCCCCTAAGAAAACCACCTGCTTCGGTTTGGGCACCCGGGCAGTATCACAGCCTTCACACAAATCAATTGAGATTCGTGTGGCGCATATGTATATGGTACCTCCTTGTACCAATATCTATGTATTAAAATAAAATAATTTGTGTATCAAATTTCTCAAAAATTATGGTGTTTTGTTAGAAAATGATTTTTTGAACCGAATAAGAATTATTTTTTTGAACGTTCATCAACAAGCTCCTCGACCTTCAATAAGTGTGTTGGATAAGGTACTTTCAACCATTCTTGCGATTATTTAGAGGGTGTTTTGAGTATCGGTGTGTGATCTTCACTAAAGATTCCATTTAAAGCGTCTAGAAGAATCTGTAACTACCTAGATTGGGCATGGCAGTGAAGCCCAGCACAATATACTGGATGAAGAATTATGGTGAAAATTACACTTTAATATTTAATGAATACTAAATGAACGAGAGAAAAATTCAAAGTCCCATGGGCGTTCATAATAGTGCGCATAACTTTGGCTAAAATTCGGTTCAATAGAAAACTTAACGACACAATAAACTTAGTTATTTAAAAAATCTTCAGATATAGAGTATGGGGTAGGTGGTACAACGAGACATCAGAAAAAAAAGTATTTCAGACAACCTAGGGTAATATCCAACTATCACCACAATAAAATACCAGCTATTGATAATCAGACTACGTTGTTTGAATATCAAGGAGTTACAAATTAGTTGGCTACATAATGAATACACTATTAAAACAAATACGAGTTAAGTCCGAATTTAATTAATCGAAAAAAACTATAATCTCAATATATAAAGTTTAAACTGATCAGAAAACATTCATAAAAAATATTTTGTCATGGAATAGGTAACATATTACATGATTGTAAGTTTAAGACAGGTTCGCTTATATGAATATATATTTTACACACTGACGGCGCACAAACACAAATACGTTATGAACGAACGTGAAACATTATAAATAAAATAATATATTTGTAATATCCCAATTAATTTATTTACAACAATCTACCCAATGCTCAGTTTATTCGGAATTATCAAGTCAGACCTTGGTAATGATACTTACAAATTACCACCGATTATTAAGATATGACAAAATTAACAACAAAACTTCTATGATTTTATTTATATGAGCTCAATGTTTAATTTTGTGTCTGATGTTGACGATAAGTTTCAGGTTAAATGTTTGTTACCATATTTGTTTTTCAGCTATAATAATAATAATAATAATAATAATAATAATAATAATAATAATAATCGTGCAAATATGCGGAAATGTTAGGAATTTATTTAGTGTATACAAGAGAATTCGGAAAAAATAGTTAGGTATTTAAAATAATATACGTTAGATACAAATTGTGATCTGTAAAACTATAGCTTACAAATTTGTAAATTTTTATTACCATACCGTTAACATTCAAGAATTAAATTTTAAACAGTCACTGTTAGTATATATGAATTCTGAATGAAAACCTTGAACCACGTTTATCGTCAGACTAGCGGTTACCCGGAGTAGACCAACATACCTCAACGAGTTGCAAGGAGCCTGTAGAAACTAATACTTATAAACGGTCAACCTGTGCATTCGAATCTCAAGCTCACACTACAATGCACTTTCTGCGAATCACTTAACTGGTGGCAAAACTCACCATAGATTGCATCCGGAATGCCATTAATCGGAGCGCAGGCAGAGATAACGAGAATGCATCATATCTTACATCGACTAACCGCTATGAAGGAGCTTCCTAATCTAACAGCGCATGATCGACTGTTAATGGGGACTTAATAGATTAGTGCCATCTCAGCTCTAGTGCTAAGTACGACACTGACACCAGCAAAACCGAACGAATATGTCACAGGGTCCACGGATAAACGCACATATACCAAGCTTTTCAGGGCGTCAGATGGAGAGTGAATTTGTAGTACTTTACTAGATTCTTGAGTATGGGTCTCGGATAGATAGCAGACATCTATGTTATTACATTCTAAAGACAACCAATCATGTCTGTAGTTCGATCTACATTAGTGTGCAAGTGTTGAATGAGGTCAGTTTGAATGGTACATGAAGTTTTAGTAAGCCCGATTCAAAATTCCTATTCGGGGGTAGCATTCGACCTACGACCAGTCAGTGACCTGAGATCGTTTGAATAGAACAGGTTTTCAACTATTGGAGGGCTCATGCATGGATTAACAAATAAAGGAATATACAGAGTGGGAATGAAAAAGAATCGACAAGTGATGCAATGTAACATAATGACGAATGTTACTGAATAATTGAGTATAATTTATGAGAGCATTGAAACGAGAATAATTCTTTTGAGCTTTTGATTATCATCCAGTTTTTGTGTGGGACGGCATACTGTCCAAGTGCCTAAATCGAAACAGTTGGTTTTCTTAGAGGACCACTCCTTGAGCCTTTTACTCAGTGGTCTAATCCACAATGTGGTGGAACGAAGTTAAGAGATGCGGTCCCATGGTAGCCGGTGACCAACAATAGGTTCAAACACCATTTGTTCTCTCAGGATCCCGGAGCCTATGTGCATCACTGGGTTGGAATAAGGATCTTTAACTCCCCTAGGTGGATCCTCCGTACCTACCAACCCAGTTTGAGCGTCAGACATTCGCTTTCTGTCCTTTCTATCACGTAAACAACACTCTCACCAGAAGGCAGTGACTATATACATGTGGTTATATGGGAGGATTTTGAAAGGGAAAGTGAACTCTTGCATTTGTTTAGGGTTACATAAAATAAGAAATTCGTTTTACCAACTATCCATTTTCCACATCACCACCCTTTTCGAGTGAGTGAGAATACTAATCAAAATTCCGTAAAATACATCAGTTATTGGTAAGTAGGATACAATGCATAGGGTGGACAAAGCACTATTATGTTCCATTACAGTGTCGAAACAATAACTCACTCACTATATACGCCTGAATTTAAACATGGAAAAAACGATAGTGTGTTGGTGGTTGCATATGTGAAGTATGTGTGGTAAGATAAAATTTAACGGAAGTGTATATTAGAATGACAACTTACTGATAGTTTGAGATATATCGGAAATCACTTTTTGAACCAACTGTAAACTATCCGATAAATAATTTTCTTGTAATTCAAAGTATTTAAGTATCAGGCGTGAATAGTTTTCTTCTTCGGCGGCGAATGAATACAGATCACGAAGTAATTGTTCCTGGATTTTTTGATAAGAACAAAAAAGGGGGATAAATAATCAACTTACAAATTTTAGTTGGGTGGAATTATTATTATCACTGAATTTGTACCCGGTTCTACACCATTCATTCATTCATTTTAACACATAAGTATAGGTACAGGGAGGCACCAAGTACATATGCGCCACACGAACCTCAATTGATTTGTGTGAGGGCTGTGATACTGCCCGGGTGCCCAAACCGAAGCAGGTAGTTCTACACCAAACTGAAGCCAATAATTCAATAAAAAGGAATTGTAAACAGAGCCTTTGTCGAAATAAATGTATTTATCATACACTGGTTTTAAACACCCACTGAAAATCAAGAAGTGCTGAACAATCGTTTAGTTCTAGTATGGGACTCCTCAGCAGTGACCACTCGTGGCCCCACCGGGAGTCGAACCCAGGACCTTCGGGTCTCGTAGTGAACGCTTAACCTTGAGATCACTAATCCAGTTGTCTATATATCTAGCTTAAACCAATTAGCGATATTATCCAGTCATCTTCTAATGACATTAACAGCCAACAAGGTTAAACTCCACTGACCACAACTTCTTCGTAGAACCCTTGGAGATTATTTACTGGGGAGCACACGATTATTACTGTTGTTAAACGCTAGCTGAGAGACCTTAAAGTCCGGGGTTCGACACTCTGTAGGGTTGTAGATGTTCATTGCTGAGGAGTCCCATATTTGGACGAGACGGATGTCGATTATTTTTCAATCTCGGTGGTTATCTAACTTAGGTCATTTATTGATACAAAATCTGGGACTATGAAATAATATTGGGACTTAAAATCTATGAAAAGATAAAGAATGAGTGCACTTCTGGGTCTCTATGGATGATTTCTAACTGTATTACTACTTTCATACATTAAATGTTTACCAGGAATACTTACAACAATTGAGTGTATCTTCCGTGTCTGTCTTCGTTTTATAACATAGAATTCCTACTTATTTATATCACTTTCTGACAAATAACTTTAATTAGCATATACTATATTCATTATTACTATTCTTTATTTTAAATACTCTTATGTATAAGATAAATATAGTGGTTGACTTAGTGTCTCAATATTCTTTCAACTATAGATTATACTAAATACTAGACTCAAATCTCCAATACACAAGAATTACTCTGCTTTTTTTACTTATGATATAGTACACATATAGAAGATGTTCAATCAAAGAAATATAAACCTTATGCTCCTAGAATGACAGCAAAACTGTAAGAAAAAGACTACTAATCACGAATTTAGGCGTTTTCAAAAGACAAGTAGACGTGGAGTAATGTCAGCTTGTTGCCTAGAGATTCGTACGTTTTATAATTTACTCTAAGCAACGACTGGGATATGAGACATCTACAGGTTTTCATTCACACATGTAAAGCTCTCTATCCATAAGTAGTAAGTACTAATCCCAGGATAGATAATTTTACTTAGTACTATTCATAAAACTATTACATAAAGTGTTCTAATAGAAATAAGTACTAAATAAATAAGGAAAATGCATTCTCGTTTGACAAACTTTACAAAAGTATCAAAAATGCGATCGGAATTCAATATTCAAACCACAATATTGATCGCTTCATGAATCCAATGAAATTAAACAATCTTCATAAACCCTATACTGTAAATATGTGAAGTTCCAGTACAACCGTTGATTGGAATGGTCTTTAAAAACTACAAATTAAAGAAAACCTTAATTTTACTAACTTGTTATTCAATTTGCATTAGGTCTGATACAACTGCACACCAAAAATAGTATGTGAAAAACAAATGAAATTATATTATGAAGAAATAAAGGATGGAGGGGAAATGCAATAAAAAATAACTGGATAAGAATAGTGTATGATGAATAGTCACAGTTCGGTTGAAAATACAACTAATCAAGACTTTTCCTTAAGTTAACGGGGTTTATTTCACTTTTATGAAGAATGTAAAAGAAACCTATGGCGGAATCGATATTAGCTTTTATATGATTGAGTTATGTTATTGAGTTGCACCTTCTCTAAGACCTCAATAAGAGGTTGTGATAAACCAACAGATTCCAGTCTTTCATACCACGGCATCAACTTATAACCAAGCAATATTTCTGCTTTCTTCATAAAACCTTGATTTACAGTAGATCTCTATTAAAAACATACATTATCTAACAAATATTAGCCCAAGTAGTTGTAGGAAAATTTAAGTGGAATATATATGTTTAAAGAAAATAAAAGAAACCAATGAGTTTTCCATCCGTACTTTTGAAGATTCTAATTCACTTTTTTTCTCTTCTAATTGATGTTGAGCTTGACTAATTCTATTGACTGCATCAATTGTCACAGATGGATTACAAGAACCAGGATAATTTGAATTTGTATTTGTTTGAATACATTGCATAGTTTTTTGTAATTGTCCACGTGCATTACGAACATCTGTTAAACATTTTTGTAAATTACGTCGACCTTTTGTAATGTTGACACATGTTTCTTCAGTTAGACGATTTAAAGGTTCAACAATTTGACGTTCTACTCTATTCTCATGATCTCGATGATATGTAGATAGAGTTAACAAAGCTTTACTAGCTTCACGAGTGACACAACTAATGAGAAAAATGAATAAAAAACATCTTTCATGAATTATTTTCCAGATCTAAACGACTAGTCTCATAACAATTGAGCATCGAGTGTATGGTCATAAAATACTGTCAACGGTTTTTTTCACATCAGAGCATACATTAATACACATAGTTTACTTTCATTATTACAATTTCGTCACATGTTACTAAATAACTCATATCCATATTTTAATACAATCCGAATTTAACCACTCGACATAACTGGACAAGCATTTAGTATACAGCTGTTGTGAACCTCGGGTTTATTAGATAATTTTGATTAATTCTCTGAAGCTCGGATTGAAATGCCGAGTAAAATTTTGAAGTCATTTTTTGTTTTGATCACTGAGATTTTTAAAAGTATTATTTCATTTTTAAATACACCGCAACCCATTAGTAGATGGATAATATGTACAAATCACTTATTATTGCTTATCAATCAGTGGTCAGATTCATTTTGAACAATGGAGTTTGATGAGGTGTTTTACACGATAGATTGTCAATATACAGCATGTTCACTGGAGCCAAATGGTTAGGAATGGTGCGCCAATGACAATATGAACGTACACTACTGAATCTTTGGTAGTATTTTGATTATAATCAAGGAACTAAACGAGTGAAGTTTAAATTATCAATCTTAATGCTTGACTTAAATTTGGTTAAAGTATAATAACCTATAAAAAAAAATTCACGTATTCGTTTTTGAGTGAAACATTTTGTGTTATAGTTAGTGATAATACCAAGGCTATCCAAAAGAAAATACAAGTCTTACGTAAAACCATATCATTACTAACTCATTTACCATGCACAGACTGATGTTGAAATTATGAAGAATATTTGTAGCTCTAGATGAAGATTTTGAAGGTATCTTGTTCTCTTGGCCGGACGGTTTGATCGTGAAGCTAATATTATCTTTCTCGACAGACTCTTGTCTTTGTAATGAGAGTAATGGCAGGTAGTGATACTATTAGGTCGCTCGAACTGAAAATCGAGCGATATTGAAGCTTATTACTTAGTGGCTGAAAGTCATTTGTATTATCCACTGAGTCACTATATACATGCATGGTAAAGCAACGAAAAGACAGATTTGATCTGAAAAATGTTACTTATTTGCTGTAGATACATACGTATATACTGTCGCCTTTTATACCACGGTTAGACTACAACAGGGTAGCTAGCGAACCGCAGTGCAGTGTAGACCAGGTATATTCCATGAGTAAGTCAAATCTTCGGCGTTCGAGACTTACCAATACAACGAGAAAATCGAGTTCGGGTTTGTCTCTCTGACAACATTGGAGACTCGACAAACAAATACAAGAAAAGACACCGGGGTGATAGATTCGCAAATAACATCACATAAGACATCTTGTGAACAACATTTGAAAGTGTTCAGAAATTAAAGTTATGGTTTATGCTTCTCCATGAGGGGTAACAGGCGTAAGTAAGCAAGTAAGTAACCATCAATAGTAAGAGTTTGTAGCATTTTCAGTAATTTTTGTTTAAAAAGGTTACAACTGGTTACTTTCAAACATTGTGCATTGTTCATGAAAGAATGGTCTTTCATCAATAGGGAAAACTTTATTATGTCCACATAAAATGACTAGAAACTTGTATCAATAATGAAAGGGAAGGGTAGTCTTAAATGAAGTAGAATAAAGTTGACCAAATAATATAATCAATAGTAACATGTGCAAGAAGTAACAAGCTGTGAAATTTTTTCACAGATTGTAAAAATAAGTAACACTGACAAATGCATTTCATCTGAAACAAATAACAGTCATAAAGAAGTAAGGATATTTGAAGGTTTTAAGTAAAAAAAGGAGGCTTACTTTATGGAAAATTAGAAAAGTAACATTCAGAATATTACATCTACCATATTTAGTAACACATGGTCGTTCACAAATTGAACACTAACCAATCGAGAAATATTTTGAGAGAAAAAGTATGATATTGTAGAACATCACTAACATTGTTATAAAAAAAGAGGTTAGATTAAAAAAGTGCTATAGTTTTCAAAATGTACAAGAACAAGCAAAAACGATACTTTTGATATCTAGACCTAAAATGATGAGAAAGAAGCCTTAAATAATGAACACATAAATAAATAAAGTAACTACTGAAAGTGTTCAATAACTTATAACTATTCTTTTTATTTCATTGGAATGTTCTATTAATTAACTAATTCATTTTGTACGTAATTAATAGTATTTAACTTGGTTTACTCATATGTTACTAGTTCATTTTATCAGAATAAAATCAGAAAGTAAAATTAATGAGATAATCACAAATGTGATTTTATTCTGAACTGATTTGATTTAATTTCTCTGTCAAGTACAAACAGATAGACGTCCTCAATATAGAGCCTGATATAGATGTGCACTAGCCTCTTGACACATCTAATTAGCGTGATATGATGAAAATAACAAAGAGATAGAAATAGTGTAGTATCAAGAATAAGCGGAGAGACTACACCTGGTTTGAAAATATAGAATGGAAGTATAGAATGAAAGGATACTGGTATTCAATATCAAGAGAAAAAGAATGAACGCATCTGAGCTATGTTACTCAATGTCACCAAACATTGGAAACCATTATCACGTGGACCCCAATCACCAAAATGGATCATAGCAACAGTCAATTATTTAATAGATTGATGCTCCTAACTTTCTTCCAACCTACTTCTTCACTAGCAAACATCGCTCGTTGAGGTACGCGGTGGTTAGGCACACGTAACACATATATCAAATACCTCAGTTTGTGAAGATTCATTATTTTATCAATCTATTTACCATATTTACCTAGTACCTCGTATCTAACATCAAAATCACTCACTCGGTCACGACACAAGTACAAACTTTCTTGTACACTCGGCTTGTGCAAAAATGATGGTGTGCGAGTGTTAGCGAAAACTTACGACTACACAAATCGAAGCGTTGTGGGGTTCTAAGATGAGATTTAGTAGTTGAGTACTTTAATCACTAAAACATTATTTTACTCTAATTTACATGCTTCCTAAACAAATCTTTAATTAAGTAATCTTCAAAGTTTCAAAAAAATGTTCACTGTCGATTGTTAAGCCCTGAAAAAAAAGCTTTACATACTTTCTAATTGTTTTCTAGTTCATAGAAAATTTCTACTCTTGAAACTCTAATGGAAGACAGAAGGCAATAAATATTGAAGTTTGCCTTAAAGTTAAGAGGATATACAGAAGCGCATACATAAAATGATAGGTAGTCTTGAGATTCTAAAGTCTACCAGAGAGAATGCTAAAATTGGTAGCGAATTCGACAGTTTAACAATCAGAATAAAAAGAGGGCAATTAATCATTCTCTTAATTTTTCTTGAAAGTTTTCAAAAAACACCTATCAATCGAAGTATTTTTGGCCCTTTCCCTAGCTTCTACAAAATTATCGAGGACACTCAACACCCGTTTTTTGACATGGCTTTGGAGAATAAATTCCTTGGATTTATCTGAAATTTTTAACGAATTTTTGACAACACTTCATCTTTCGATATGTTGGAATATTTTAATCATACTTTGCCTATTTGGTTCTAAGAATATACCGAGTTCAATAGAAAAGCGTCCATTAGAGTGTTTAGTGGAAGTGTCGCGGAAACATGTGTTTATTTTTTTATCTCATCGGATTAGACTTATATGTACTGTCCAAAAGCAATACCAGTATTTAATCCTAGAAGATTAATGTCATACGTAGAGCTGCTAATTGTCGAACAACAACTTATACGACTTAAGAAGGTTGGTGTTATCGACCCGCTAACTTTTTTAACATGGGCTACATTAATTGGAGTTAGAAAACCTAAGGGTACTGTCCACTTGTTTACTGACTATTCAACCGAACTTCATGCAGTTCCAGAAACCCATCAGTATCCATTACCATTGTTAGAAGACGATGTTTGACAAAATAACTGGGTAAAAATATTCTCAAAAGTTGGATTTATCTAAAGTTTATCTACATATCCACGCAGCTGGAGAATGAAGAAAATCGTTTAATATAGGTATAACCGACAGTCATTCGAGGATAATACGGTACTCTCAAATGTTCAGTGAGTAATGGATAATGTGATAATCATGGGAGCAGATCAAGTACATTTATGTGTAGCTGTATAAGGGTTTTGACTCCATGAAGAAAAATGTGTTTTCTACATGTGACATGTACGATGACGGCAATTCATAGTGGATAAATACGGAAAGATTTCGAATTCAGTAAACATTACAGCAGTTAAGACAATATCTAGACTGACAGATGTTCCTACCTCATAATTTTTCGAGAACTTGTTAGTCATCATAAGAAAACTAGCTAGAAAATAACTACTGAAAATCAGGGAAGAATTCTCAAACCGAGGCAAAACAGCTATCAATTCTATTTGGTCTTCAATGCCTTTTACAGCTAATTACAGCACACAACCGAAACTATCCTCAAATAAACTTAGTTTTAGAATTGTATAATAATCTAAACATCTTTAAAAGTATATTTAGTACAGAAGACTTTAAGATGGAGAAATTTGCACTAATATTATTAATCTATCAAAAATCTGGTCCGTTGACAAACGAAATATATTATATATGATTAAGGTCAACACAAAAAGTGAACACATTGTCATATGACTTAGGCGATCTGGGTTGGATCCTTGATACAGACTATCAATATGAGAAACTTAGACTAAATTCGAATACATTGCATACAGCTCTAGAATAAATCGAACAAACATCTGTTGAGTATAAATGGATTTATAATAACATTTGGAGTATGGGGGAGATTTAGCATATGAAAAGAGCAACAACCTAACAAGGAAAAGTATCTTAATCTGAGATAAACATAAAGGATGGATCTCATGGATGGTTTTGATGCTAAAGAAACCGAAATCTAAATTTTAAAAAAAGGGAATAATAGTAAAACGAGTAAGTCGGTTATTTTGGCGGGAGGTGTTTAAATATCTTTAACAATCACAGAATCAATTGTATCTATGCATTACTGAGAAGTTGGCTTTTTGAATTTTCAATGTTTCTTTTTTAACTGATATCGGTTCATGATAAAGACAATATTTAAATAAGTCATCTATAGATGTCTAACATACAATTTAATCATTTGTGGTTGAGACAAGTAACCTTTAATCTGTTAAGAAAAATGAACTATTAAGTATTTTTAAATAAGCTATTTTGTCTATTTTTAATCTATAAAATTGTCCACATTTTCCAAAAGACAAGAAAATACTTTTATAGAATATTTAACACAACAACTAGCTTATTCAATGAAATGTGACTATCCAAAATTCCAGACAAAAAAGGTAAAGACCATGATGAAATAAGTGGGAATTAAAATATTTCAGAAGGTGGGCAGCACTAAAATGGAATAATCTTGAGATGAGATGGAACTATTTTTCTTCAATGACTTCTCCATATGCGTACAAATGAAGTACGTTCTATCGTTATCGTTACCTTGGACTTAATTATTACTATTATTGCATTCCCCCTTTACTTGTGTCTCATATTCTCACTAATTTATCCATGAATGCTCATCATATCACTTTATTTACTTTTTACACCTCTATGACCTTTAATTATTGTAACAAAAACATTTTAAACATCTTACCACATTCACGTTATAATTTGTTATTAACTTATTAAGTCTATTGTTATTATTCGTATTACGTCATCTAATATTATAATCCTTCTATTGCGTGATCTTTTCCATATACGTTAGTTTGTGATGAAAAGCACAGTGACTAGGAAGTTAAGGATGGTTGAGTAATCCAGATTATGTCGGTTGCTTGGTTAAATTAGTAACCAGGTAGTAGGGGTTACAACTAGTGTTTGATGTAAGGACTAGGACCATGCCGGTATCCCAATCGAAACGGGACAAACAGAAGTTCGAACTAACAACCTACTGCCGAGATGGATGACCGAGTGCTTTAAAAATAAAACAAATATCATCATCTATAAAACTTTCCCATTTGCTTCCTAATAAGCTTCTATATTTCATTAATATTTAATATAAAGTGTCCTCTGTGTGAGGAATTAATATTTTTTAATGATATCCAAAAAATCTCTGTAACCCCTCCTCATAGTAATAATCATGCATTAGCAACTAATTTTGAGAAGTAATTTCAGCGTTCTATTGGAAAGTCGTGAATGGCGGAGTTCGACGACGTTGAATATGAGGCAGTGATCCACCAAGTATACTAGATGGTTGCGCGATATTACAGATTGGTTGACGTTAAACATTTAAAATATTGGAATCCGGTCCAGTGGTTTAGAGGTTGAGCCTTTGCGTGCAACACTGAGGGTCTTAGGTTTGATCACAGGTGGTGGGTTCATGGATATGCACTCCCAAGAAGTCCAATATTAACGTGAAACGACAGTCCAGTGCTTAGTGATTTTCAGTAGTTGTTTAACTAAGATCAGTTAGTGATGTTAATTATGAAATGAACAGTCATCTTCAGTGACTTTTCTTTATCTATAGAATGCACTCTTAATCAATGTATATTTAATATATACTTGCATTATACATAATAAGAATGATAACCAATAATATTAGAATCTTCACTGATGAACAACTTATCTGCTTCAACCGCTCACTTTTATAATGAATCTATAATTTATTAGTCTGTGGGCTAGGGTTTCAAAAGCTCAATTAGTGAACTTTAACTCCAAAAACTTGGTCATTTGATCAATATAATTTATTTTCATTAAAGTTAACTGAAACACTTTTAAACGAATTAAATGTAGCACATATATGTTGAGGTTCGAGTTCTCCCATTGTTCATATTTAATCGGTAGCTCAGCCGATAGCATGTTGTTAATTGAAACGATAGGTAGTATGTTCGAATCCTAGTGTAAACATCAATACTGAGACGCAAATCTATTTAGATGATGGGTCTTAAACATGAAGGAATGTGTGTTCTAGATTTTGTAGTTACCCACAGTTCGCTTTTACCAAAGATTAAGTGCAGCATGTTATCTCAAAAACCCTTTATCTTACATTTGAAAAACTTATTTAAATTGGTTATAAATAGAAAAGTAGGAATATCTAAATAGATTTTTTTTCATCCTATGCAAGCACATTTTACTTATTTGTAATCATTGCAATTTGCAGCAAACTAAATCATAAACAGATAAATATATAGTAAAATAGGTTACATCAATTTTTAAATAGAGTAGTATAGTAAGAAGTCAAAAATTGGCACTTACACAAAAAGTCGATCATCTGTATTGGGTTTATCGACGGATTCTTTTAAAATAGTTGACAGCACATACTCAGGATACTTTTTCTACAAAGAAAACGATCAATAAATGTAGAAAAAGGTGTTTACTATGCATACATATATATGATCCTTCAAAGTATACTATCATCGTATATGAATCTGAACACATGTTTTTGTTAATGCTATCACGATAAATTAGATTTTTTGCATGTAACCAATTATAAGAAACAATGTAATTACTGCGCGGGAGTTTGTAAAGATAGCTAGATCCCATGGTTTATATCACGGACTGAAATTAGTAGGACAAACAGTGAAAACCAGGAGGCAACGGACAGTTGTTTCGTCATAGTGCGGTACTCCATAACGATGCGCAACCACGACCCCACTGACGGGGAAAGCCCATCTAAGACGAAACGGGTGTACATCGGTCCCTGATTCTTAATGGTTGTCCAACTGAGATCGTTCTGTGATGTAAATTATGAAATAACGTAATTGTTAAACACGAATCTATGATGATCTATTGATTATTACAACAAAACTTTCTGAACAATATCACTGAATTGTTAAAATAATTATGAAAACGCCATAAAAAATAGCTTTCGGAGATCGAAGATATAAGTAAGTTGCTAATATTTTTAATAGGTATCTTCAAATTATTACCAGCATATGGTGAACCTTATTTATTTATTTGTTTAGACATACAAGCATTGGTACTAAGAGGCACCAAAATACGTATGCAACAAAGTAGTTATTACTCACTATAAGCAAAGATGGATAGTGGCTAGCAGTGGAATCCAGGACGCGCGTTCCGTCCTATTTGGGAATCAGAAGCTGGATGTACCTGCATCTCAGAGTTGATGTTCACTCTGGGACTCGAACCCAGTACCGTGCACTTCAAACGCCATGGCATTATTCACTTAGCTACTGAGTCCTGATAGCCACTTGCTTGTGCAATGGGGTGAAGTTTAATTGTCTCTTATAATAAGAGACTGAACAATTTCAGTCCTAAACATCAATGGGAAGATTCAAATAAAACAATATCAAGTGAGTCAGTTATTACTCAGCTTTTTTTAATGGAATGGCATACTGTCCAAGTGCCTAAATCGAAACAGTTGGTTTTCTTAGAGGACCACTCCTTGAGCCTTTTACTCAGTGGTCTAATCCACAATGTAGTGGAACGACGTTAAGAGATACGGTCCCATGGTAGCTGGTGACCAACAATAGGTTCAAACACCATTTGTTTTCTCAGGATTCTGGAGCCTATGTATATCACCGGGTTGGAATAAGGATCTTCAACTCCCCTAGGTGGATCCTTCGTACCCACCAACCCGGACATTCGCTTTTTGTCCTCTCAATTTCCCCGCCGAGAAAAGGCAGTGGGACTTCTGTAGTGTCTGTCATTATGTTAAGCCCAAATATCTTATTCTAACTTCTGGACAGCTCATTCTATTCATTCTACTTGAGTCCGATTCTGACCTTGTTAATTATTCGCTAATCAATCTTGACTGTCTTTGTATAAGCGCGTAGGCGTATGTACATTTCTTATCCCGTTACTCATCACATGTCTGTAATTTATGTGTGCTTATAAATATTGATTAACTCTTTGTTCATGGGGGAGTTGGCTTACCAACCATCTCCACCGCGCGTCATTTTTGCTTCGCTTTCTTTTCTTCGCATCTTTTCCCCGTTCGTTTGTTTGGTCAACGATTCTACAAATATACGTATCCAAAGTTCCATTCTCGTTATTTGACTTATTTAATTCCGTTATTGACTAACGCGATTTAAGTCAATGATAATATACGAGGATAAGGCGCATATATATATTTCAACAACGATTATTCATACGATCAACTTGGAGTCAGATCACGGGCCACTAAAAATGGTGGGCCCGCCATCGCCGACGAACTCAACAGGCACCACACTTCCCTGACAATGACTACATACGCGCGTCTGCATGGTGAGACCGCCGAGTAGTGGTGTTGTATATAGCATATTACAATACAAGTGATATATTTGTTAATTAGGTTGTGAACTTGCATCGACTAGTATGGTGGAGGCATGTGATGCGCACCCTCAGCCGCTAACTTAAGGAATTAGCCTGGTTGAACAAAAGTAGGTTAGGAAACTCTAGGTCTATGGAGTCACTGTTCTGAGGTGTGTAGCACGTACATGAACACTACTTGGTCCTGAGAGTTTGATGTAGTCCATGGTTGAATATGTTGCACAGCATGGTTTAAAGTTAGTTCCTTTGGTACAGATATTTATTTTTATCTTTTCTACATCTTGAGCTGAATATTATTCCACACTTTTTACTCCTCGAATTTATTGGTTACTTTTGTACTGCATTTCTTGTTTAGTTCCCAATACTATTGCTGAACATTACCTCAAATTATTTGTCTTCCCTCTTATTTTTTCCGGCTATGTAGATGTAAATCATAACAGCTGGTGTATACGTGTTGGCTGTTTTTCCGCCTTTGAGACACACCTTTTGTGTAAAGGTCATATTTACTATCCGGCTGACATAATTGAAATAAGTAAAGCGGGTTTAAAATTTGCAGATTAACAGATGGAAAACTAGTAAGTCATAGGCCCCCAAATGCCCTGGTACGGTAGAGAGTGGGGAGAGTCCGCTCTCCCTCTCGAAATACTCTCACATGGCCACGCGTATATAGCCTCTGCCAGGGAAGTCCTACTCACTGCCTTCTCGTGGCGGGGTGTTGTCTACGAAATTGAGAGGACGAAAAGCGAATGTCCGGCCCTATAACCGGATCCCAAATCAATGGTGCACATGGGCTCCAGTATCCTGCGGGAACAAATGACGTATGAACCAATAGTTGGTCACCGGCTACCATGGGACTGAACCTCCTTACGATGCTCCACTGCCTTGTGGATCAGACATTCAGGTCGAAGGCTCGGGGTGTGGCCCCCTAAGAAAACCACCTGCTTCGGTTTGGGCATCCGGGCAGTATCACAGCCCTCACACATATCAAATGAGATTTGTGTGGCGCATATGTATTTGGTACCTCCTTGTACCAATATCTATGTGTTAAAGTAAATAAATAAATAAGTCATAGACTAGCTTATGCATCACTAAGTAATGGAGAGTTGATAAATAGACGGACTAAAAAAAAATAATTTATACAAAGCAGTCGGAATACAAGCGAAAATGGAGAAAGTAGATTGTAGAATAGAAAAGTTTCACGGTAACTGTTGTATGTTCTACAAAATCATTCAAGAATTTTTATTAAAATCGTGAACAGTTTGGAGGTAAACAGAAAACGTTTTATAAAACAAGGTAACATACATTTTTCTTACTGACGAGAACATTTTGCACTAGACCTCTGTGTACATCACTTGCGACACGTCGTACATCGTCAACACAATGTTCTAAATGTTCAGCATATTTAGGCCAATCTGTAGGTTGTTCATCTTTTTTATCCCTAAAAGTTAATAACATGTTAAATGATGATAGGTTAATAGAGCGACCAATAGAAAATGAATTCGATTAAAAAAATGTTTGTGAATACGATCTGAATATAAATGTAATCCAGAGTTATTTGTGTATTAAATTTTGAATTTCCTCTGACAGGTTGAATTCTGTAAAACTAATAATATTGGTTGAAAACACAATGGAGGTTATAACCTTCATTGTGTTATAGTTAATGTGCTACATAATTTCTAGGCAAAAGTTAAAAAGTAAAACGTCAATGCAACTAAGTCTTCACACCCATTTTATTTTATGAGTGTGAAACATGACTACTGAGAGTAGAAGATATTTGTAGGTTAACAGTATTAGATCACAGGTGTCTTGGATCATTGCTCGTATATTTTGGGACTACCATTTTATTTATTTATTTATTTATTTGAACACATAAATATTGGTACAGAGGGGCACCAAATATATATGCGCCACACAAAACAATGATAATTTGAAGAGAAGGAGAAAAAAAAAGTAATGAACGTGGGGAATTATTAAAGAAAAGGGAGAGAGAGAGAACAATGGTGGGGGAAACGGAAAGGTACAATCAGAAGAGATCTTTCAGTTAAGGAAGATATAAACACTTTTTATGAAGAAAGTAAGAGGTTACAGCACGATCGCCACTGGCTTCTATTCTTAGCCATATCTGATAACGTCTCTAGCCACTGCGTTACACCGTCTCTCGGACCCCAACCAGGGAGTCGTGAAGGACCAACAGAAGCTAGCCCTTTGCAGCTTTCTTTCATACCACGACACCATGTCATATACTGACCACCTCTCCGCTTTTTCCAACCAGTCCCAGAGTCGGTAAATAATGCACGACGTGGAATTCTCTGGGACGACATTCGTAGAACATGTCCAAGCCACCGAAGTCGGTGTTTCAAGATGGTGACACCAATTTCATTATCGTCTCTGTGACCGAACACTCGATGCCGAACCTCTGCATTACTGACATGGTGTTGCCACTGGATGCCAGCAATCCTTCGGAGACAACGATGATCGAACACAGAGAGTCGTCTAACATCCTCAACTCGGAGAGGCCAGGTTTCACAAGCATAGAGCAAAACTGCTCTGACCGTCGCGTTGTAGATCCGACCTTTTACAGCCAGACTAACATCACGAAGGCGCCAAAGATAGCCCAGATTGGCATAAGCCGCTCTGGCTTTCACTATACGAGCATTGATCTCATCACTCACACCACCACCAGCACTTATGCAGCTACCTAGATACACGAACTTCTCGACTACTTCAATCTGCTCACCATCCAGAGTGAGTACAGGATTAGAATCCTGCCAGTCTTGTAGAAGTACTTTGCACTTCGAAGGTGCAAAGCACATACCATACCTACGGACATTGATTGCCAACTGATTAAGTGCGGATTGCATGGCTTGAACATTCTCGCACAGTAAGACGATATCATCCGCATACTCAAGGTCGAGAAGTCTTTCTCCAGGCAACAGATCCACACCACCATTACTTACATCCGTCAGAGCTGTTTCCAGAATGTCATCGATGGCAAAGTTGAAGAGGAATGGTGAGATTGGGCAACCCTGCCTAACCCCACTGCTTGAATGGAATAACGGAGAAAGGTGGTTGTATGCTCTCACTCTGCCTGAGGTGTTTGTGTATAGGGCTTTTAGGATGTTAATAAACTTCTCAGGCACACCCTTCTTCAATAGACAATCCCAGAGAACAGTTCTGTCCAACGAATCGAAGGCAGCCCTGATATCAAGAAACACTACGATTGTTGGCCTTTGATAAGTATGGCGGTGTTCTAACACTTGGCGGAGGGTGAAGATATGATCAATACATCCTCGACCAGAACGAAACCCAGCATGCTCCTCGCGAGTCAATCCTTCCCGGGTCCTGAACAACCTACGAAGTATGACGGAAGCCAATAGCTTGGACGCAATCGGAAGTAGACTTATCCCCCGATAGTTGTTACAGGAACAACGTGAACCCTTTATAAGATAGGGACAACTATCGACTCATTCCATGACGTTGGTACACTCTCTAGTTCCCAGATCTTTGTAAACAACGTCGTCAGTCCCTTAGTCAAAAAGTCACCATCTTTAAAAAGAGCCGGAGGTAAGTCGTCTGGGCCCGGTGATTTGTAACGTTTCAAGAGTTGGAGTTCCTTGCGGACTTCCGCCTCATTTGGTGGATCAGTCGTCACCGGCCATGGAGGGCAGGACAGTCTGACCGATGTTGCCGGAGCAGCAGGCCAGTTGAACTGCCCTTCAAAGAATTCTGCCCATCGTCCAAGACGTCGATGGATGTTAGTGATTGGCGTTCCGTCATCCTCGCAGATTGTTTCGCTCACACCAAACTTCTTGCTGCCAGTGGCTCGGATGAGTTGGAAGAGCTTCCGGTAATTACCAGATGCAGCTGCTGCTTCCAACTCACTGGCACGCTCCAACCACCAGGCTTCTCGGTCCTTACTCAAGCTTTGCCCGATTTCATTACGTAACATCCTTCGTCTGTGGTCAAACTCACGGTCACCCGGAGTAGACCGACGGGCTTCAATCAGTTGTAAGGAACCAGAAGAAACCCAGTGCTTGTAAGCGGGACGTTTCGCAAACCCACAACAGACTGTACCCGCCATTTTCATGGCGTCATGCAATTGCAACCAATGCTCATCTATACTTTTCGGTGGAATGGTAGCTAGCCTAGAAGCTAGCTCGGTTCGGTACATACTAGCAACAGAAGTTGCAGCCAGCTTGCTAACATCAATCCTTTGGTGGCGGTCACTTCGTTGTCCACTGAAAAGTAAGGTAAGATTGGCGCAGACCAGAGCATGATCAGATTCCAGATAGGTACTTCAAAAGGAGCGGCAGTCTTGTACACAACCGCGCCAGCGGTAGCTGATCGCGATGTGATCAATCTGAGTCCAGGCTTGAGATGCAGAAGGAGGACGCCAGGTGGCACATCGACGATGACTGTGCCGAAAGTTAGTGCTAGCCAGAAACAGGTTGTGGTCTGTGCATAGTTGCAGTAGACGTTCCCCGTTATCTGTCCTGCGACCAACGAGTCCCCATCGGCCACCTAAACGACTCTCTTCTGTGCCTAGACGCCCGACCTGAGCATTCAAGTCTCCAGCTAGTACTACAATATCTGTCGAACGCACTTTCTTGAGAAGAACAGTTAGCTGATGGTAGAACTCGTCCTTGATTGCATCCGGGCTGCAATCTGTCGGGGCATAGGCGGAGATGACGAAAAGACATCGTTTCTCACGCCGATTTCTTCTCACTTTGATGGAACTTTCTAATCTAACAGCACATAACCGACTGTTAATGGGGATCCAGTCGACTAGTGCTACCTCAGCTCTTGCGCTTAGTGCGACACCAACGCCAGCAAGACCAGACGAAGATGCCACAGGGTCCCCGGATAAACGCACATAAAACAAGCTTTTTGAAGTGACAGATGGAGAGCGAACTTGTAGTACTTCACCAGAGTCTTGAATACGGGTCTCGGATAGACAACACACATCAATATTAAGACTTTCCAAAGACATAGCCAGTCCTATCTGTTGTCCGACCTGCATAAGTGTGCGAACGTTGAAGGTAGCCAGTTTGAATGGTGCACGCGGTTTCAGAAAAACTGCTTCAGTACTCATGTTCGGTAGTAACATACAATTTTCAACCAGGCAGTGACTCGGGAACGTTTAGATAAAGCTGAATTTTCACCATAGGTGAGCTGCTGTCTAGGTCGAAACGCATATATAAAGTAGGAATAAGAGAGGGTGAATAAATGACGTGGTAGAGTAATAATAATAATAATAATGATACTAATAATAATAATAATAATAACAATAACAATAATAATAATAGTACGAGTTATTTCAATGTTAATCAGATAGAAAGGAATATTTTCCATAAGCAAATTGTTCATCATAGTTTTAGTGAGTGGGCTGGGATACTGCCCGGGTGCCCAGACCGAAGCAGGTGGTTTTCTTAGGGGGCCACACCCCGAGCCTTCGACCTAAAGGTCTAGTCCACAAGGCAGTGGAGCATCGTGAGGAGATGCAGTCCCATGGTAGCCGGTGACCAACGATTGGTTCATACGCCATTTGTTCCCGCAGGATACTGGAGCCCATGTGCACCATAGAATTGGGATCCGGTTATAGGGCCGGACATTCGCTTTTCGTCCTCTCATTTTCGTAAACAACAACCCCGCCACGAGAAGGCAGTGAGTAGGACTTCCCTGGCAGAGGCTGTATACGCGTGGCCGTGTGAGAGTATTTCGAGAGGGAGGGCGAACCCTCCCCGCTCTCGGCCATACCAGGGCATTTGGGACTACCAAGTAAGCAGTGACTGGGTTAGAGATAGAGTAGTAAATAAATACGGCAACCCGATTAATGAGGCAGTAAACTTTCATCAACAGGGATGGTTGACACATTTCACGTATACTAAACCACCGCCTACCCTGACGAGTAATGTCGTGTGGTGTAGAAGTGGGTTGGGAGAAAACAAGGGCTGCCAAGTCAAAACGTGGGACCAGTCTACGACGTCATTGATAATTATAGTAAGCTATGTTAACAGGTGTAAACTACCTGGTTGAGGACTTGGTGATTATCGTAATCAGTGGTTAGAGACTATGGATAATTTTGCATCTCATCATCATTAGAGAATTACTTGGATTTGACAGTAACTCAGTGTACATAGACATAAAAATTGCTAACGTGTTTGGATGTATTGGAGGTTATGATCCAACAGACGTTTTTATTTGGAAACACTGTCTGTTAGATTGGTCATTTTTAACAGACGTCCTCTTGGTGGCGCTTAGACCGCGTGTTATTTGTCGATTTTGTAGGTGAAAATAGATCTGTAGCTGCTTCTTACAGCAACAAGGTGGACTTAATAATAACGAAACAAATCTTGATTGCATTTTTAATCAAACTATGCCTCAAAAGTATTTTACCCCTCTTCTGTGCGAATTTGTCTCATATTCTGTCCTAGTAATATCGTTTCATTTAATTTGACATATTTCTTGATATATTAACGAGTTAGACACTTTTATGCCATTAACAGAAACTATTAACTTGTCTCTCATACGTGCAACAATCAAAGTGGATAAATTAACTCATGAAATACACATGGATCGATTATGGTGATTAACACGTCAATAACTAGAACTGAGCTACTATATCTGGGTTGAGTGGTTGCCTAATGATTAAAGCACCCGAATTTTAGCCATTATAGCCCAGACTTAAGCCCTGCTAAATCTACTTCAGGTAGGGCAGTCTAGAAGTATCACCTATCATCACACAGAATTTCGGCTCCCAACTGAGTATATTGACTTGTACTCACATATCAGGTTACATTATTTCAAGTCTTCGGCCCAAAGCAAGAACACAATGGGAGTGGCCAAAACAATTCGTGAAGAAACAGTTGGCTTTTGTTTTGTTATGTTTGAACAACATGAGGTTGGAATTTGCGAAAGAGTAGAAAGTGATGATTGAAGACTTCTCATGTTACGGGTTGAAACCAGCCGAAATGAAAAATTAAACCTCAGATTGGGAATCGTGATGTTATGAGCAATAGATCAGTGTCTGTGATTGTAAAGAAGGGTAACTACTTTCTTAGAACAAGTATGGGCGAGACTCTAATTTTAGGACGAGCCAATCAGAAGCGTTTGAGTCGTTTCAAGGTCACGGAGCCAAGTTTAACATCTGATGCTCACATATGATCGGTTTACAGCGGATTTTAGAGAAGGGGTGATTATTGAGAGTCTAAAAGGGATGGGATTATTAAAACGTTCTCGTACGTGAGACTGCGGTTATCAAATGACCGCAGTAAAGTGTGCAAACCACCGTGGTGAGATTATATTTCGTTGTCCTCCATGCTGGAGGAGAAAGTCTGCTAGAACGGGGACTTTCTTTGCTCGATTGCTACTGAAACTGAATCAGATTATGATAATAGTTGCGAATTGGGTAATAATAACACCAGCAACACTGGCTGCGGCGTTTGCAGTTGTTTATGAAACTTCAGCAGTCCAGTGGTATGAGTACTGCCGTGACATATGTGCAACTAAAATAACACTTGTACACCAACCATTCGGAGGAGTAGGATGTATCGTGAAGAGAGATGAAACGGCAGTGAGAAAGTGAAAACACAACAGGGGACGTAGTTTAAAGTAGGATTGTGTAAGTAGAATTTCCGTAAATATACACGACAGGTACTTGGAATTTATGACTTTTTATACCGTATGCAATATGATTTCAAAACATCTGAAACTTTAGCAAACCTTGATAAGTTTTTAAATCATGTAAAACAAGTATATTCACTGTGATCCATTAGTTTCTTCTAATAAATTTCTACGTTATACTAGCTGTCTTCTGATTGACTAATATTCTCAAGGTCACTTAAAATTCGTTCAACTGTCGTCCCTAAAATATAAGTCTCGCCACGGAAAGTTTCGTTAGTTTTACCACAACCTGACAAACGCAAAAACCGTTGACAGAATTGATTAAAACTATTGGAGAGACCTGTATCGCTACAATATTCCAGGTCACCAACCACTACAAATTCGTTTTAAGACTCCGTAATAACACAACCACTGATACCAGTAACATGACAGAAAAAAAATTAAAATGGGCAATAGCATTGTAAAAAACCTAAGACTGATCTCTCATTTTAAAGGATATAATACTGAAAGTCACACTTGCAATGTTGACTACTTATGAGAAATGTGTAGACTGGGAAAACTACTAGACATGGATCAACGCAAGAATACTGCCCCGAAACTCGGAACTTACTTAGACCATTTAAGCATGATAAGTACCTATTTTTGAAGCATCGCTTGTTCCAATAACCTTGACCTAATATAGATAAACAACCTTCAGTCCTCAGCAGTGATATTAAGAGATCTATCGACCTATAGAATTCCTGTCAATTTGTAGTACTATGAACATACGATTTAGCTCTGGCTATTACAACAGAAGGTACTGGTACTACGAGTTCTGGTAGAGAAATCCCACTAATTCGCTACTCAGTGTGAGAAACGGAACTCGGTCTTTGAAATTTTTTGAAAAACGTCCTTAAAGTGATCAGTCTTGAACGGGAGTAGAAGGTAAGACCTATTACAGTGTAGAATAAGCCAGTATTTGATCACCGGTAACCAGTGGTAAGACAACGGAAATAAGTTGGAGAGTCTCAGTTTGTTTTTAAAAGACAGGCCAGAAAGATCTGTTACCATTTCAGTCATTTATCATTAAAATCATTCTTGCATATCCACCTCATACTAGCCGCTTGAACCCCAAAATTTAAATATGGCCAAGACTCTCCAATATAATCGATGTATCCAATATACAGTATCTTTATCACGAGCTTGTAAAAAACGATTAGTTTATCTGTGTTTGCCTCTTATTTTTCGTCTTGGTTTCAGATTTTTATTAACATCTCGTATTTTGTAGACTGGCCATTCGAATTGACTATTTCCATCCAGTTTGGTAGTTATCTGCTGGTTTGCCATCATGTAATCTAAGCCAATGCATTTGCTTCAAGTCAGCAGGGTTTGTCAATACAAGCGGCTAACACACTTCCAGGAAGAGTCTTGGTTAACTGAAATAGGAAAAATAATACAGAGGAAATGCAAAATCAAAGAGAAGACGAGTGATTTGAGAACAAAGTAGGCAAATAAGTTAATTATTTGATGATGAAAACAGTGTGAGAGTACTGAAGTGTAAGGATAGAAGGAGAAAGAGAAATAACGGCAGGCTATACAGAGATAAGGTAGCAATATGTGACAGTAATAATGCCAGATAAGTTATGAGACAAACACCAGGCGTAACTCGTGCAAGAGGGAGGAGGTAATATATGGGTAGGTATTTGTTTCTTAAGTCTCCTCTTGGGACTATTCACTAAAGAGGATGTGGTCACTTAGGCTGGAGGACCATTTTGAGTGAAGGCGACTTTTGATGAGGAAAGGTGGAAGCTCTACAACCTGCAAATTTTCAGGTGTTATACCAAGAAGCTCTGTGGTGATGTTTTGGTAGGACGCTATTTCAAATCCGAAAATTTTAAACAAATCTCGGACAACGAACTATCGGTAAAGTATGGAGCTGTGCAAATCGTTAAGTTTTTTTACTGAGACCATGGATCGATTGATGTTAGACCACCATTGAAGACCTGAAAGAACGGAAGGTCCTGGGTTCGAATCCCGCGAGCCAGATAGCAGGTCCTCACTACTGAGGAGTCCCATACTAGACAGAAACGGCCGCCTACTGCCTCCAGGCTTTGAATGGTGGTCTAGCATCTATTAATTCATGATATCTATCAATAAATTGTTAGCAACTTTTCGTCTAAAAGCATGTCAAAAGGGAGTATCTGAAAGTTTCCTGAATACATTGTTCAGAGGTATTTTATGCTACTTATTCGAAAATTTACACTATACTGATTAAGTCTTCATTTAAAATGCGATCGTGGAGATCTTATTTACAACTTCAGCCCATCTGCCTCTCAGTGTTCAATATAGGTGCAATACCTAACATTTTAATTTTTTGGCTAATGAACGTTCGATGTTACGTTATAATCTTCGTTGACGATTTCTTTCTGGACTCTACATTTGGATATGTTTCCTTTTTTAGTCCGTTAAAATATTTAAATCACAGGTTACAAATGTAGATCGATTCACACTAATTGAGTTCTTGAAAATAATTCGATTTTTATATGCAACTATGACATTAAGTAAACAGTAAAACGATAAAAATTGTAGATCTTCCACTTTTGTTAAAGATAATCAGCCTGACAGCAGTTATACAAGTGGGAGTATAACAAGTGTCACCTATGAATAGTGCGTCATATAGTGGATTTCTTGTTTTCTCATTGGCTAAATAAGGCATTTTAGAGAATCATTTTGATATGGTATGTAAATGACATCACAAAATTAGATCACTTGCCATTTTCTTATGTCATTTGTTAGGTCACATACCACAAGCTGAAGTGCTAAGTTGAATACCAAATACTTGTGTGATAAACAAGATACAAATCAAATAACTTCTTACAAAATGAATTATTTTGTTGAAAGATACATCGGAAATTCCTATGAAAAGTTTTATCATTGTAAGCGACAGCTGTATGTCTATAAGTAACATTAAAACACTTATGTAGCAGACTATGAAAAATGAAGTACTTCATGTACAGCTAACATATTTTTCAGAAGGCCAATGAAAGACAATCGTACAAATTGATTAGCCCTTTAATTTAATGATCAATCTTTATTTCAACGTTTATTCCATGACAATGTTTCCAATTAATTTCACTTCCATTGAACCGGAGATGAAGGAAGGTTTTTTGCAGTTCCTTCAGTATCAGAATATCTCTGAAGTGGTTCTTGTGGTGTGTATTTTTACATTGACGTTTCCTAATAACTATAATTATCGTCTGAACTCTCCTTGGTGGAAAGTATATGGTCAGTAACAAAAAGTTTTCTACTCTTGTAGAATTATGGTCTACTATGTTATTAGCACTGCTCTAATAGTAGACCTTATCCTAAAATTGTAGATGTGTTATGATGTAACTGCCTAGTCTATGAGATCTTACGTGGAAGTCACATCATCATCTACACAAACTCACTGCGTCGTAACAATTAACAATACATGATATAGAGCAATCTTAGGCTAGAGATGGAACAATATATTTAATATGAATAAAAGATATAACGTAACATTTAGAAGGGACCACGCCTGCTTGGCCGAGCCATGCCATACGATCAACTCTCACTTATTCAATTCATTGTTCCCGCCTTCTCCATTGTTAGATATTTCCCAGCTTTACAATGTTGAATGTCTATTTTTCGTATTGTCTCGTGTTAGGGCCCAATGCCACTACACTACTCTCCCATCAGAATCGACGTGACGTTGGTTCGATGCCGATTTGAGTGGGATTATGGCGCGCCGGAGGTTACCAAGAATAATAAGGACCCTCCGTGTATTGATAAGCTGAAAAATAAATCAAAAAGAAGACAGCAGCATCTGGTCGGGAAATACATGTAATAATTTTAACATATCTGATCGCATGCTTAACACGCCTAAAATGAAAATTCGGAGTGATTATTTGGGCTATGAAAAATGGGATTATAATAATAATACTAATAAAACCTGAATTCAGTGTTAATAGCCTTCGATAATAACTTATAGATAGTAAGTACTTTGTGTCTAGAAATATTAAAAGCAGTCAATATTGCTGAGATTTTATTATTGGTATTTGTTTTAGTTTAAATTATGAAATCAAATAACGTTTATGCCAAAAAGTTGTCCATGCGTTAATTTTCAATTGCCTCTGCATTAGTAGGCTATCTGAAAGAACAAAAGTATAACCGAGGAGAAGAATTCCAACCAGTGTTCCAGTTAGTTTGATACGATTTATTTAGATATGGGGAGATTTTCTCGACCTTATTTTTACTTGACCGTGATAGAATTTAGTAATACAACTAATACATATGAATTGTTATCAAAAATTTTTAAATACGTGAAAAGTAATAATTATGTGGATTTCGGACAGATAGATAAGAGCGATTCGTTAAACATGAGTGTATCCGTTAGAGATATGCTCTAGAATCAATGTTCTGATTTTCCATAGACTATTTATCTATATTCATATCTATCCTCTGATGGTACATACAAGTTAGTTGCAAATGTCAGTTTAGTATAAGACGGAATGCTATTTAATTGAGATATAATGATTATAAGTTATTGAAATCAGTTAGGCCTACATGCCACATTTTTAGGTGATGTGGTGCTGCAAGATGTATCCGTCTAAATAAGTTTTTACAAGATGATTAACAGTGAATGATGCTCATGTGATTACCAGCGAGAACATAAGTTGTAACCAAGGAGAGTACATTCCCAACTCATGTCCATGATAATGGCTTGAATCTTAGTCAGTGTTGGGGTAAATTCGACAGTGATGTTTTCAGTTTGCAGGAGACTTGCTCGACTGCTTATACTGATTGTTTGCATGCATGATTGTGTCGCTAAACCTCCAATTAGACTGACAAGGTTTTGAGATATTTATTGAATGAGCAACTGATAGAGGAACATACCGAAATAATCTGTAATGGATGAAGATACCGAAAAAACAACACTATTCAATAATAATTACAAGTCAATTTGCTGAACGATTTGTCAATAGTTTCCTCAATTTCATCAATCATATTACGTGATTGTCAAGATATGACAATGTTTTATGACGATGTCCTGAAACCATTATGCTTATCTAGCTATAGTGCTGTTTGAGGATTAGCCAGTGAAAAGTAGATGCTGTTGCTTTGAGTGATTCAAAATTACCAGAAATTCGTAGCGTTAACGAATCCGAGCTGCCTGTTTATATTACTAATGGTAATTTAAATATATTCGTGTACATAATGTTAATTTTAATAATAGGCTCCGGAGGTTTAATTTTCAATATTTGTTTGTCGAACAACTACATGAGAGTTTAGTTATTAAACTAGTGCAGTATGATAATACCTAGATTTAGTGACTTTATTATCCTTTATATGTTTGTCTTTTTAGTTACTAATACACTAGACCAAAACATAAACCCATATACATATAGTAAATACAACCAAACAACAAGGATGACACTACTACAAAAATGTACAGTGAGTTTCAGCTGTAAGTTTTCTGCAGTCATAAGATCATTTTAGATGGCTCGTTCAATGGCAACCACACAATTATCTGGATTCGTTCAATTGTTCTAATTTGAGCGAGTGACAAAAACGTCAGCGGTACCAAGCACCCTGGAATTAACTGCCATACTGCGTGTTTTATTTGGGATGCTTTTGATCACTACTAGTCACGAATGGCGTTGC